GAGTCTCGATCTCAGTGAGGGTGTCGACAAAGGCGGTCAGGGTGAGGTCACCCGGGTGCTGGCTAAGAAAGTGGTCGCGAGCACTAGCGAGGCGGTCTGGCAGGCGCATAGCGATAAAATAGAGCGTCATGCAGAAAGGAGGGGGGAGCGCAGTGAGCTGGGCAGCAGTGCTGGCAGTGCGATAGCGAGTCTCTAGGGCACGCAAATGAGTGGCAAAATCTGCGACAGTAGGGAAGGCAGCCAGGTCTGGGAACAGCATCGGAAAGAGCAAGCGGCCAGCAGAAGCGGAGGCAGGGGTGGAATAGCGAGCAATAACGGCGTCTAAATAAGCTTTGGCCGTTTCAACAGTAGCAAAACGCGAGCGCTCAGACACAGGGAGGGCGTGACTAATAGCAACCTGAGCTACTGCATCGCGTGAGTCCCAGACCGCACAGGCTAGCGCAGCAGTAGAGAAAGCCTCACGGTCATCAGAGGAGGGGTCAGCAGGGAGGGGAGTAGGTGCAGGGGGACGGGGGAGCAAGCCATCAGCATGGACAACCAGAGAGTGGCCATCCTGGCGCTGACCTGTAAGCTGGCGGCGAAGATCGGAGAGCCAGGCGGCGAAGTCAACCGCGTGGCCCTCAGCGTCCAGGCGGAGCACAAAGTCAGCCATCGTGCAGGGTCAGCGGCCCAGCTCCTCAGCGACACAGCGGCACAGCAGCACAGCTCCTCAGCGGCACAGGAGCACAGCGGCGCGGGGACACGGCGGCAGCACTCTCCAGTAGGGCAGCAGCTAGGCGTCCCAGCGCAGGCAAGCAGAAGACACAGGGCCCGAGAGGACACGGCAGGCCGAGCAGGGGAGGCGGGCAGGTGCTCTAGGGCCGGGCTGGTGCTGGGAGGGGCCAGGCTGGTGCTGCTGGGGCCGGTCGGGCACGAGGAGGGGCCGGGCAGCGCTGAGGAGAGGCCGGGCGGCGCTAGGAAGGGGCCGGGCGGCACTAGGAGGAGGCCGGGCGGCACTAGGAGGAGGCCGGGCGGCACTAGGAGGAGGCCGAGCGGCACTAGGAGGAGGCCAGGCGGGCGAGCGCTAACAGCAGGCGCGACAGGGGCCAGCGGGCGCGACGGGGCCTAAGGGGCGCGACGGGGCCCAGCGGGCACGACGGGGCCCAGGGGGGGCGCGACGGGGCCGAGGAGGCGCGACGGGGACCAGCGGGCACGACGGGGCCCAGGGGGGCCGCGACGGGGCCTAACGGGCGCGACGGGGCCCAGGGGGGGCGCGACGGGGCCTAGCAGGCGCGACGGGGCCTAGGAAGCGCGAAGGGGCCCAGCGGGCGCGACGGGGCCTAGGAGGGGCGCGACGGGGCCGAACGGGCGCGACGGGGCCCAGAGGGGGGGGACGCGACGGGGCTTAGGAGGCGCGACGATGCCTAGGAGGCACGACGGGGCTCAGCGGGCTCGACGGGGCCCATGGGGGGCGCGACGGGGCCTAGGAGGCGCAACGGGGCCCAGCGGGGGCGCGTTAGGGCCTAGGGGTCGCGACGGGACCCAGTGGGCGCGACGGGGCCCAGGGGGAGCGCGACGGGGCCTAGGAGGCGCGACGGGGCCCAGCGGGCACGACGGGGCCCAGGGGGGGCGCGACGGGGCCTAACGAGCGCGACGGGGCCCAGGGGGGGCGCGACGGGGCCTAGGGGGCGCGACGGGGCCTAGGAGGCGCGACGGGCGGAAGCGGTAGGCGGGGGGATCCTAACCTAAGCGTGATACCATGTTAACGTAGAAACGAATGATTACTAGAGGTGGAAACCTAGAACAAATACTAGTTGGTTGTACTCACTAGAAGCATACCTCAGTCTAGCCTATAACTTCTACATAGATAATATGTATAAGTTGACACAACCAACTAGTATTTGTTCTAGGTTTCCACCTCTAGTAATCATTCGTTTCTACGTTAACAAATGAGTCAGGGTCTGTACGCGCTGTGCTCTGAAAACTCAGTACTGGGTTAGCGACAACTCTGATTTTCTCAGGATCCCTAGAATCGTACTCTGAAGGGATCAGGATTGGGAAAATGCCTTATCTGGAAATTCAGGTTTGGCCAAAAAACAGGTCTGAGATTTCAGACTAATCAGAGTAAATAGTCTGATAAAGTCAGCCCTGCTCTCAACATGCTGCCACCACTTACCACCACATGCGCCATCCTTCAGTCCCTCGGGTGGGCGACATCACACGCTCACTGCCACCACTAACCACCACCAGAGCGTGGAGTGGCTGGGTTTGAAGTGGTCCACGCTCCACAGTCAGCTCTGGTTAGAATTACAACCGGGTGGTGTAGTTACACGTTCTTGTCTGATGTTTTGACGGATTTTAGAATGCCCACATTGGTTGCTAGCACTAGGCATGTGAATTTGGTAAATAGATAATTTATCAAGTGTTAGTACATCAAACAAAAAGAAGAAGTCTAGGAATCTGATAATGGTCCCACCAGTGTAAGCTTCATGGCTACAAATTTCCCAAAATAGGAACCCTCAAACGTAAGACTGTCAGTCAGGTGCAAACGCATGCAAGCACTGCTGCGGATGAAGGGGAAGGGGGGGAAAGATTCTCGCTGGGTGAGGCCGGGGGTGAGGGGAGGAGAGGTCAGGCAATGGTTAGCGCAGCGCGCGAGTCACGAGGAACCGCGCGGAGATACGCCGCCGAGCCTGCTTGTGCTGCGCTCTTGTGCGGATCTAGTCGCGGAGCCGAACAGCCACGACGCGCGGGACAGCGCGCGGGAAACGAGGATCGGTCGGCCGCCACCGCCGCTAGTGCCGCTGCTGCTGCCGCCGCTGACGATGCTGGTGCTGCTGGCGCTAGAGGCGCTGCTAGTCCGCGAAAATTCCCGCGCGCGGGCTCCGCTATTCTGCTCCTCCGTCTGCGGAGGCAGATGCCCAAGTTGCGCGAAAGTGGCGCTTCCCCCGCTCCGCTTGAGCGTGCGCACTCCGCGTGGCTGGTGCGCGTCTTGGCTCTCCCCCGCCTCTAGATCCCCCGTCGGCTGTTGCTGCTGTCCCGCCACTGCGTGCGGCTTCCGAAAGGCTCTGCCGGTTCGCCACGTGGCATGCTGCTGTTGGCCGTAACGAGTCGCTACGGAGAGGGGTTTGTCGCCGTCGCCATTTCGCTGCTGCGCTGCGGCGAGTTTTTCGAGCTGCCCGAGCCACGACTCCGACTCCTGGTGCGAAATCCACACGTCGGCGACGTTCGTTAATATCCGCTCTCGCGTAGCGAGGGAGTTTCGACGAAGCTGCTGCAGAAAGCGCTGCTCGCGCTCGCTCATGGCGGCTTCCGACCCGGCGACATCGCCTCCGCCGCCGCCGCGGCCTCCGCCGCCGTTCTCGAGATGATCGTTATCCAACGGCGGCTCTGGTTCGTCGCGAGCCGCATCGGCGCTCGAATCACGATCGTCCGATAACGAGTCGATATCCGCCTGAGGCTCTGCTGGCCACATCGGGCCGCTCCGGGTCGCAGGGCCAGCGCGACCGTCGCAACTGGCGCGACGGGCGCGACTGTCGCAACTGGCGCGGCTGTCGCCACGGTCTCGCGTCTCGGTCGGTTCCGAGCGAGCAGACGCAGGAGAGGCAGGAGAGGACGCGGCACTGTAGGGAAATCCCCCACTCTGTCTCCAGACTCGCGCTTTCGCAGGCGCGGCTGCCGTGTCGAAGTTAATCTCCTCCCACCTGCACCCGGAGTCTAGGTTCGCGCCCGCCCCCGCCGCGCTGCGTAAGGCTGGCGGTCTGCTGCTGATGAGGAGTCTGCGCGGGCTGTTGACGAGCGTCATTGCTGACGCGGCTGTACTATAGCGGAAGCAAACGAGGAATTCTACGGGGGTGTGAAAGTGAAGTATGAGTGGAAACTGGCTGATAGCCAGCTGGAAAGTGGTCCTGTAATTAGGAGATTGCAATCTGCTCTATCTGCTGCTGCTGGTTCTAGGAAATCTTGAACTGTTTTGCTTTGCTCAACCTGCTGCTGCTGGGTTTCTTGCTACTGTGTGTGAGGGAAGCTTGCTAGTGTGAAGCAAAGTGATCATGTGGTGAGAGGATATTTGTCTGAGCAAGAGAACCTTGGTTTATCAACACCCAACCGCGCTCTGAATAATATAAAGCCTCGGGTAACCATTTGTTTTCTCGAACCTGATGTTGCTGTTGCTGCTGCCTAACCGGACAGAACGAGAAGGGGCGGGACGGGGCGGGACGAGCCAGATGGTCACGATAACTGCTGTCATGGCGCGTAAAACACCATACCCGACCGTTCTAACATCCGAAGAAACGCGTCCCACCTCAATGAACCGTGGTACAGTGGGCATCTGTTTATCACCAGCAGCACCCTCGATGTAAGGTGCTCGCGCCGTGCGTTGGTCGGCAGAGGGACTCGAATGAAACTGGCGGTGGGAAAAATTGTTTCAAATGAAAAGGACATGAAGACGCGAACGTCGCTTTGCACACGCACCCACTTGGCCTGCCTGCCCAACGCGCTCCCCGCCTGACACGCTGCTCCGTGGCTTTCATTTCGCCCTGAACCTGACGTGACGTGAGCCCAGTCCAGCGTCGGTACAGTTCAGCTGGCTGTACATCAGCAAAAAGTACACTGGGCACGGCCGTTTTAGGACCAGTGGCGTCGTGTTCCACACGACTTTTGACAGTCCCTTTCAAAGGACCTTTCATCACGTGACAGGTCAGCTAATTGCTGCTTGTGTGAATGGCGGTTTCTCGAAGAGCCTTCCAGTGCCCTTCGTTCAAGTGCCAAATGCAATTTGGCAGGGGAGCTGTTCTTGTAGCAAATATTTTTTTCCTGGCTTTCACGAGTCCTTTTGTAAGGAGTTTTCTATTCCATACCCAGCGGTACTGCAATCGCGTACGCTCGAACACAACCGAAGCCTCGGGATGGTTCCGGACCTTTCTGACATAATCACCTCGGCTTCTCCAGACCTTCTGGTTCGACCTTCGGGAGTTCTCCGGGCCTCGCTTCGTCACTCGAGACCCTTCAATCCCCTTCCTGAACCTTTCCATCTCATGGTTAGACTAGCTCTGGTGTTCCTATATCTCGGCTTGCCATTCCTTATAAAAAGGAATGCAATGACTGAACACTTCGTTATTCATTTCCGCGCTACTCTGCTTGTTCATTCATAACACCTGGTTATCAGAGCCACTTTCCTCGCTCACCCGTTTTTCGTGAGTTGATTTTTTTTTTGGGGGGGGGGGGGGTAAAGTCCCTCACGAAAGCTGCAAAGCGGTTGCTCGCGAATTAGACAGATTAATTCGCCCAACTACGATAGCGTTTGCGCTTACCTGAGTACAGGCACATTACGGATTTCCCCTTGCCCCGGCGGAGCATTCGCCAAATGGACCAAGCTCAGTTCAACGAGCTTCGGGAACAGTTCAACGCTATGAACATACGCATGGCTACAGTGCTGGAGGACAACGAGCGACTTCGTGCAGAAGTTGCCGAGTTACGCCAGGCGCGAGAGGATTCGCGTCAGAAAACTGCCGCCCAAGAGGAAGTCGTCAGCACCGGACGTGTCGAAACCGTTTTAGACGAAATCGCACTTGAGGTGTCCCAGGAGCGTAAGGACAGTGAAGCCGCCGCAGTAGCTGACGTGGCAGCACGAGCAGCAGCCGAAACAGCAGCAGCAGCACCAGCGACAGCAGCAGCCGCTCGGTCAGAAGGCGCCGCACCGACGTTTATGCTGATCGTGACGACAGCGACGATCGAACCGACAATGCTGCCCCCGTTCAACCCCACAAATAAGAATACTACTGTTACGGGCTGGTTATTTTCGGCGGAACTTTATTTTAATGCCGCTGGGATCACGGTTGACGATTAAAAAAATCGACTGGCTGTATCTTTACTACGGGGACCTGCGCTAGATTAGCGGCAATACACACTACCGGTGTCACATGATCGAATGACTCGAGGAAAGATTGCACTATCGATCAGTACAAGGTGCTTTTATACTTCCAGAGTACATCAGGTAACCAGGTTTATCTTATCCTAAGGGAATAGACCCTTCTAGAAGATAGAATCACCCTGCGTATAGCCACGCGATGCTATTGGCTTTAAGGGATTACGGCAGGATTACGCCAGATAGCGCACCAGTACATTCCAAGCCTGGTCGGTGATATAATTAGAATAGCAGGATAAACCAAAGGTTTAGTGGAAAATGGAGAATAGGAAATCAAATGAGATGGGATAAAAAGAGAAATGAAAGAGGAAGGAAATAAGGAAAGGGACAAGTAGTGTAACGGGGTCGTACTCTCACAACAGGAGGGGGAGTTTTCGGCAGGCGTCACACAGGGGTTTTTCAGAAACTTTGGGTCTGCTGCCTAGTGGTCAACCGCGATTTTTTGATCGACCAAGATTCGCACGTGGAAGGCGTGGGGTACAGCTCTGCGTGAACGGTTCGAGCCAATATCAGCCTCGGACAACGCACGCACGAAGCTGGACAATTGGCGCCAGTGGAGTTCTGTCCAGGATTACGCGTCGGTCTTCATGGCGTTATGCGATCAAATCACCGACATGCATGGCCCCGAGAAGAAAGCTTGATTCATTTCGGGTTTGAAGCAGGACATAAAATGCGAGGTCCAACTGCGACTTCCGGCGACGTTTCACGAAGTAGTCCGGATCGCAGACACTTTCGACGCACATCGGACGTATGCGAGAGTGGGTTCCCGGGAAGGAAATCGTTTTCGTGGCCAGGATCCACGGCCCACGATTCACGGCGTAGTGGCGAGGGAGCACATGGAAGATTTTCGCAAGGGACAATGCTTCAACTGCCTCCAGCCGGATCACCAATCTCACGATTGCCCCCGAAGGAAGCAGATTAAAAAGAACGATGAAGGCAGGTCGGGAAACGCCAAGCGTCAGTAGCGGTCGGGCCCCCTACTGACCCTGCTTCATCGCCCGAAAAACACCATCCCCACCGGGTAGTAGTTCCGATACACGCTATCAATCGCTCCCAGCTGAGTAAGGGGGATGACCCAATGGACCACCCTGTATTGGCGGAGGGACGACTCAAAGGAAAAAAAACAAAAATATTCATCGATGGAAGTGCGAGCCACAGCCTGATAAATCGAGAGACAACACGAAGACTACACCTGATGCTGGAGAGGTGTCTGCCCGAAATCGACGCGCGATTGGTGGATGACACCCCCCTGGCGATACGCGACAAAGTACCCGTCGTTCGAATGAAGTGTGGCGAAGATTTCGGCTTCAGCGCGCCGATGTTGGCGACAACACTCGACGGCTACGATGTACTATTGGGACGCGATTGGCTGCGAAGATTCAATCCGCAGATCGATTGGACAACAGGCGAGTGCACAGTGAAGTGCGAGAAAGGCTGGCGAAAATTACCCACGTGGCCGGAAGCAGAGACAACATCGACACGAGTCAACGCGGTGTGCCTCAAGCGAGCGGTCAAGAATGGAGCGACTTTATACGTCGCCCATCTAACCGAACCGACGGAGCAGAACGAGGCGACCGACATCAATACACTCTGCGCTTCGGTCCCGGATGACTTGGCAAAAATCATTCGGGAATATCCTGAGATTTTCCCGGACGACTTGCCAAGTGGACTGCCACCCAAACAACCCCAGGACCACAAAATCGAGCTGGAGCCCGGCGCGCAGCCCACTGTACACACACAATGGCGCCTGACTCAACCGGAGCTACAGGAACCACGAAACCAGCTGGACTACCTAATGGCGAAAGGGTTCATTCGGCCGAGCACGTCACCGTTCGCAGCACCGATCCTGTTCACCCAAAAAAATGATGGCGGACTTCGTATGTGTACGGACTATCGTGCCCTTAATCGAGTAACGAAAAAATTGCGCTACCCAATCCCACGCACGGACGAACTGATCGACAACCTTCGCGGAGCTTGCTATTTTTCGAAGATCGACCTTCGCGGCGGTTACCATCAAATTCGGGTGTTCGCTGACAATTGCCACAAGACCGCGTTTCGTATTCGCTACGGGAGTTACGAATACACGGTGATGCCGTTTGGATTAACGAACGCCCCCTCAACGTTCCAACTCACCATGAACGTGGTGTTCCGCGATCTACTCGACAAATGCGCGATAATTTACCTGGATGGCATCCTGATCTACAGCAAGACCCAGGCGCAACAATTAAAGGACCTCGAAGCGGTTTTTCAGCGGCTGCAGCAGTATCGTCTCATCACCAAGGGCTCCAAGTGCGAGTTTTTAAAACAGGAACTGGAGTTCCTGGGGCACGTGATCTCCACGGAGGGAATTCAAATAAACTCGCAAAATCTCCTGGCTATTCAGGAGTGGAAATCGCCAACAAATCTGCAGCAGCTGCAATAATTTTTGGGCTTTGTGAATTACGTGCGGTGGTTTATACCCAACATGGCAGGGTTAACTGGACCTCTAGCCGACCTACTTCAGAAGGGGAATCTTTATGAGTGGGGGGAGAAGCAGCAAGCTGCGTTCGAGGCATTAAAAAATCTTTTAATGTCGCCACCGGTACTTCGCATCGCTGACCCAGAACGACCCTTCGAAGTCATCACCGACGCAAGTGACATTGCCATCGGAGCGGTGCTCATGCAAGATTTCGGCAATGGTCTTCAACCAATCGCGTACGAGTCTCGCAAAATGCAATCTGCCGAGAGCAACTACCCGGTACACGTCAAGGAGATGCTGGCGATTGTCCACGCATTCAAAATCTGGAGGTGCTACCTGACTGGAGCAGACGTGACGGTGGGAACCGATCATAAATCTCTACAGTACCTGAGAGCGCAGCCGAATCTCAACCCGCAGCAGATATGCTGGCTGGACTATCCGGAGTCCAACTTCACGTACAAGATCACGTATGAAAAGGGCGCCAACAATATTGCCGACGCCCTTTCCACGCCATCTGCCCAGCTCGCAGCAGTACTAGTCGCCCAGAGCAACCCGCTACTAAGTGGACTATTTACCCACGGATATTCAACTAACCCCTTCTTCGTAAATGACAGCCATCTCCCAATCACTACACGGAAAGGTGCCTATTACGTACGAAGCGGGACTGATCGAATTTGGGTCCCAAGTTATCGTCTACTTCGCGAAATACTAATTCAAGAAGTCCACGATTCGAATTAATCGGGACATTTCGTGGTTGATAAAACTCTGAAGGCGTTGCAGCAGTTTTATTACTATCCAGATATGGGGATGGACGTGCAGCGTTACGTGGCTGCGGATCCAATCTGCCAGCGAATGAAGTCATTCCACCAGCGACCTACAGGGCTGTTTCAGCCCCTCGTGCCACCTCAACGCCCGTGGCAACACGTAACGATGGATTTTGTTACGGGACTACCGGCCGGACCCAACAGAAATGACGCCGTTTTGGTTGTCGTCGACCGATAGACGAAAATGGCGCATTTCGCATCATGTCGTACAACCATCACAGCCAAAGAAACCGCGCGCCTGTTCATCTCGACCGTCGTTCGCCTACACGAGATACCAGCAGCAATCATTAGTGATCGAGATCCGAAGTTCACGTCAAAATTCTGGCAGGATACGTGGGCTCGGTACGGCACGCGTCTGCAGTTCTCATCCGCTTATCATCCTTAAATGGACGGTCAGACGGAAAGGACAAACCAAAGGATGGAGCAGCTGATTCTGACAAATTGCCCCGACCGGAAAAAATGGGAGGACATGCTGCCCATGTTGGAATTCTCCTACAACAACGCGCCCTCATCTACGCCTAATCACTCCCCGTTTAATCTCAATTACGGGATGGACCCCACCGTACCCGTCTCCACCAACATTGAGAGTCAAGTACCACGATCGCAGCAGTTCGTCGACGAATTAGAGATTGCCCGACACAAAGCTGTCGAACTTATTCGCAAGGCAAACGCTACTGCCCGACGGTATGCAGATTTACATCGACGGGATATTACAATGGTCGCCGTGCAACTGGTCCTTTTGGACACCAAGAATTTACGACTGCCACTATCGACGAAATTACGACCGCGTTTCTGTGGCCCATTCAAGATCATGAAGATGGTGACGCCGGTGACCGCCCAGTTACACCTACCTGATGACTGGTGTATTCACAACAAGTTCCACGTGAGCGTGTTGCGACACTTTGTTCCTGACATGTCGGACATCGCCCGACAGCGATTGGTCCCAGATTTACGGCCACCAGCCGAGACGACCATCGAGCCTTCGAAGATTTTGAGCCATTGGATTCGTATCGACGGCCAAGGACGACACGTTGACTTTCTGATACGATGGACCAATCATACCAGTGAGGACGACACGTGGCTAAGGACCTTTATGACAGAATCATCTCAGCTTCTCCAGACCTTCTGGTTCGACCTTCGGGAGTTCTCCGGGCCTCGCTTTGTCACTCGAGACCCTTCGATCCCCTTCCTGAACCTTTCCATCTCATGGTTAGACTAGCTCTGGTGTTCCTATATCTTGGCTTGCCATTCCTTGTATCAGGAATGCAGTGACTGAACACTTCGTTATTCATTTCCGCGCTACTCTGCTTGTTCATTCATAACACTTATGAAGTATAGAATAGAGTAACGCCTACACTTCAAGGATAGTAATGCCCTGGTTTCCCTGGTACCGTTCTTGACCATGTTAGTTCGTCCTTGACAACGTAGTGCCTTAGTCATGAAAATGACGGGCCTCAACTCAAGACAAGGAGGCTCGAGAAAATGTAGGAAGAGTATATCCGCGCCCAGTATTACGGCGAGCCGCGCTCATTATTAGGACAGTCATTGAAACGATACCCTTGTTGCCCGAGTCAATCACTCGAGGTTTTTGGGCGGCAGGGACTGAAAACGCCACTTTCATTTTGCAAACCTCGCCACAGGCATATGGGTGTTAAATTATATATGCTAGTATATAATTGTAGGCTTGGTAGTCTTACTGAACTTTACTGTAAAGGGTACAACACCCCTCTTTGTATCCCTCTCTCTTCTATTCTGACCAGGGCTTATGTTAGGTTTTGGGACAGCCCGGATGATTTGGGCACCCCTCAGAATCTGCCCTGGAAAACCTGGAAAACCAGGGTCAAAAGTGGTGGCTCTCTGATTTTCCAGGGCTCTTGTAAAAACTGCTCGGAAAAATCAGGGCTGTATACAAAATCACTCTGTTTCCCTGCACAATTAATTGGTACAAGAAAAATAGTATGTATTCTTAGCACGCATAGGATAGCAAGAAAGTACTATCAGTGAAATTATCCACGCACAAAGTCTGCATAAAAAACCACACCCAGTTCAAATATCAGGCCACCTTAGCATCCCCAGGCAGCCGACATGGGCGCCTGGGCCTCATCTCATTCCAAATCCTAAAGACATCCATCCAATCCACCTCGAAGTCCAACATCTTTACAGCCATCAGCTCGGCAAGCTTGACATCGGACAGGCCTGTCCGATCCCAATTCTTAATGACATTCTGGCGAGAGAAACCTCTTTCGCACTCGACAGTGCTTAGAGGAAGCACTGGCACTGCACGCCAGAGGTTCACGAGATTTGGGTAGTTCGCAATCCAGGTCTTCGAACTGAGAATGTTGTTCAGGCTTTGGTAGAAACCTTCCTCATTGTGATGCCTTTCGAGCGTCGAAGTGAGCATGTCAATCTCACCTTCGCAAAAAACTCTGCTCACACCTGAAGTGGGGGTGATTCGTGGTGATCACAAGAGTATGGGTTCATGGATACGAGGAGGCAGAAGCACATAGCAGCCAGAGGATGATTGAAAGGGGATCACAAAAATAGAGCAACATGGATACATGGCAGAAAAAGCACATAGCAACAGGGGGGTGGATGGTGGGGATCACGGAAGTATAGCAACATGCATACACGGCAGCAGAAGCACATAGCTGCTGGGGGATGGTTGGTGGGGGTCACAAAAGTATAGCAACATGCATACAGGGCAGCAGAAGCACATAGCAGCAGGGGGGTGGTTGGTGGGGATCACAAAAGTAGCATACAGGGCAACAAAAGCACATAGTAGTAGGGGGATGGTTGGTGGGGATCACAAAAGTATAGCAACATGCATACAGGGCAGCAAAAGCACATAGCAAGAGGGGGATGGATGGTGGGGATCACGGAAGTATAGCAACATGCATACACGGCAGCAGAAGCACATAGCTGCTGGGGGATGGTTGGAGGGGGTCACAAAAGTATAGCAACATGCATACAGGGCAGCAGAAGCACATACCAGCAGGGGGATGGTTGGTGGGGATCACAAAAGTAGCATACAGGGCAACAAAAGCACATAGCACCAGGGGGATGGTTGGTGGGGATCACAAAAGAATAGCAACATGCATACAGGGAAGCAAAAGCATATATCAGCAGGGGGGTGGTTGGTGGGGATCACAAATATAGCAACATGCATACAGGGCAGCAGAAGCACATAGCAGCAGGGTGTGCAGCTACCATGATGACAATATCGTATAAGCATATAGCATACCTGGCAGTCGGTTATCGAAAGGCCAAGTAGCTGGTCCAGCCAGCCGGACCAAGCCTTGTCCCGAGTTCCAAGTTCCTTCACAGGATAGGACTTTGGCCGGTACAGCTTGGTTCCCTCAAGCTTCTCTAGATCACCTAGACGCCTCCCAAGAGAGCTCTTCAAGGCTACAGCTAACTCCTTCGCCAGTGCGTAGCAGGACTCGAGGTCGTTCGCATACTTCCCTCCGATGTCATCCCCGTGGAGATCGACAACGGTGGAGAAAGGGTTCCCATCTCCATCCACCCCTTCGACCACCATCGTCCTTGAATTGGGGCTGCCATGCTCCTCCAGGAAAGCAGATATCCTTCCCTTGTATCCTCCCCCAAATCCCCGAGTGACAAATCTAGCGTGTCTCGAGGGCCATGCAGACTTCATCCACCGAAGCTGCAACACCCGTGATATCCATCTGTATGGGGCAGCCATAAACAGTCACAGCCACATATGCAGTTAAGCAGCAATACTTGCCATATGGAAGAACATTGAGCGAGGTAGATGGATGAACAGGCCAACCTGTGTGTTCAGAGTTTGACGCACCTGGCGCACCTGGAATTTGAGGTTCAAGCCATCCAGCAACTGCAGAATGTCACATAGCAAGAAGAGCATAAATCGAAACTTGAAGCTGCTGGCCAGCTTGTACAGCTTATCGTTATCTGTCTTCCACATGACTAGAAGAACAGGCAGCACGTCGCAAAACCTAGTTACTGCTTCTCCACGGGACAACCATCGAATTGCTATGATGCTAAGAATCTCCAGATGCGTTGCCCGAATAGCCAGCTGAAGCTCGAGAAACTTTTGGCGCGAGACGTTCGTCTAGGGCGGCTATAGCTTCCGTGCGAAACTACAGCTCCCAGGCAACGAAATGTCAAATGCGCTCACAGCAAGCCAACCTTGCTCGTGACTGATGCCGACGTCCTACCGCTAGCTCGTAGCAAGGGCTCCTCGCCTACGGCTACAAAACGTTGTTGCACTGAGCGCTCAGACTCCGATGCGCCAACTCGTCGATCGCCTCCGCCGACGGGATTTTGCCTTGCAAGGACTCCTTGAAATATGATTATATAGAAGCACTGGGCTCTATGATAATCTCCTCGTTGACACGATTCCAACGGTATCCTCAGGTTTGCTAGAAGTCGTGATTACGCACTTCTGCAAGGTTCAGAACTCAATTGTATTGTCAAATAACAAACAGACAGACACTTTTATAGTCAACCAGAATGCCAATTCGCGGCTCGTAGCCACCGAAGGCGCTTCGAGTAACGAGCGCGCCTCGTTTCATTTCGGGTCGCACATGCATTCACATCGGAACGCGGTCTGCGCGTTTCAACACCAACACCGATCCCAAGTTCGGTGCTTCTGAACGTGCACCGTCCGAAATCCCATTTTCTTCCGCAACTCCTCCCGAAACTCCATATGCACACTTTCTTTACACTTTCCTTCCCATTCCTTCCCCTTTCTTCTCGCCACCGTTCCCTAGTGCACCACCGCACTTCTTCTGAATTCCTACCAATTTTCCTCCATCACTGCTATTTTCTCAGATGACTTTTCTTCCGTTCCCACCATCTGAAATTCCTCCCACGATTTTTCTTGCCACCCCTAGGCTGCCCTAGTGGTTGGCGAACCACTTCCAATAACCTCCCCTGTGGTCCGTCAACCACCACATCCCCTGGTATTCGTCGTGACCCATCAACAGTTTGCTCGCCCTGCTTCATACTCTTCAACTGCTGCCTTGCTGTGCCTATACCCAGTTACGTACAGCTCCCTTGCACGCCTGATGCTAGTATGGAAGCAGCCTCTTTCTTCCTGAATGATCCTTCATACGCCTGATCATTCTCTTCTCCGTCCCAATTCGAAGGCCACGCCCAATGCATCCCCTAAGGTACTTCATGGTATTACCTTCCAGGTCTGTGTAGAGATCGTAATCCCATATGGTGAAGTGCTTTGCGAGCCTCTTAACCCTTAGCTCCTCTCGAAGACTCCACCCCTGTTGCACTGCTCCCTTTCTCAGAAAGAACGTGAGATTCTTATCATTGCCAACCTCCTCCCAGAATGAGTTTGGCGCGATATGAAATCCTGTTGGTCCCACTACTGCTACCTCAGCTTCTGCTGTTGTATCTGCTTCCTCCTCTCCATTGAGCAGAGACTCCTCCTCACTCTCCTCTTCTTTGCCTGATTGTTCCTCCGATGGTGCCTCGCGAACCCTTTCAAAAATATCATCTACTGTAGCTGTAACGCATGGCCTTTGCACAGTACGCGGGCCTAGAAACGACCTTCCCAACCGCTTTCCACAAATCGGCTACCTATGCTAGGTAGCGCGAAATGGGAAGGAAGGGTTGGGAGGGGAGGATTAGGATTGGTCGACACTTGGGACCAATCAGATTTTAGTTGTACAAATTGAGTTGGCGAAATTCCCAACTCACGCGATGGTTGGATTTGCGACCAATCAGAACCAGGGAGTTGGTTGGCAGTGCCAACTCAACTCGAATATTCTTATGCTGTACACTATATGCTAATCTGAATATATTGTTGTAAACCTCTCATTGGTTGGAAATCCAACCCTTTTGCCACATAAGCTAGCTCACCTCCTTGGAGCCATGGAGGAGGTTGAGCAGCTGCTGGGAGTCATTAGAAGGGGTCTGAGCTGAGAAGCTCATTCTCAACTTCCCACTCCAAGAAATCAATCTTGAAATGGGATTTTTCTCTAAGTCATGAGCTCTCCTCACAAGCTTCCCTTCACTAGTGGCTTCTAGTGTGATCTCCTAGGGGAAGCCCTACCCGACCAGAGTCTCAAGCACTTGTCTTCAAGGGCCTTCCTCAAGTTTAAGCTATCTCTTAGAGGAGGTTCCTCCTAAATACTACGCTAGGGGATCGTTAGTTGATTTTGTACTCCATTTTATATCCTAGGATCTTGGATGTTGGGTTTGGACTTCAACCCTTGTTGCCCATGATATAAGGGCAAGGGTTGTTACATTTGGTATTCAGAGCTACGTTAATCTTAAGCCTTGTGGGATTTTTCTTGATTTTTTTTTTGTTAGAGGGGTGATTGGCCTTCAATCCAAGACATTGGAGTGAAGATTTCAAGATATCTCAAGCTTCTTTAAGTCATTTTGAAGAGCCTTTTCAAGATCTTCATCAAATTCCTCCACTTCTCAAGACAATTTTCCAGCACAAACTCTTCTCCTGTCTCCACCATTCAAGATTTGAAGAGAGAACATTTTCTCTCTTACCCACCTTGTTGGTGGAAGACTCCCCTGAGGAGTGTGGCTCAGATCTGCGATCTGTTGCAAGATCTAGTTTAGATCTTGCCCTAGCATTGAGGTGCTAGGGATTGGGCAACAGATTGTATTTCTTGTAATTTCTCTTATTAAGTTATTCTGTTAAGAGATCTGTTTATAGAGATTGTCTTGCCCTCTCACTGCAGTGATTGGGACTTGAACAGATTTCTTAAGAGATTTTAAAGAACATTTCAGATCTGTTGAAATATCTTCCTTGTTTTACCATGAATTCAAGTCAAGCTTTGGAAAACTTGGAAAGGGAGGAGCCTAATGTGACTCCTGAGGGAGCCAACCTTGCTGCTAATAATAACCAACAGCAAGATGAGGCCATGGCTGATATTGAATTGGTGGACATAAATTTGGAGAATGAGGGAAATGAAGAGCATGGAGAAGCAGAAGGGATTGATGGAGCAGAGGGGGAGGATGATGGCATCGAGGAATGGTCGCTCTCCGATGATGTGGCTAAACTCCAGGCACAAGTCTCGGAGCAGCAGCTTATAATCAATCAACAGAAGGGACACATCAACTCTCTCAATATTGCTTTTGCGACACAAAAGACCGACACGACTAGGCTGCAAGCCGATCTCAATATGGCATATGGAGAGGTACGGGATCACAAGCGTCTGCTACATAACAGGGGCAATCAAATCCAGGCCCTGGAGAAAACGTGCGACCAGCTGCAAGCTGCTATCACCCAACTGCAGACTACAATTGCCCAGCTGCAATCTACAATCGCCCCGATGCAACCTGCTGTTGCCCACCTGCAGAACCAGTACCGGGATATTCGGCGGGGTCCTATCTACCAACACTCACCCGCTACTGCTGGCCCATCGGGCACCCAATCCAACCCGCCGCCCGTTGCATCTCCTTCAACTGCAGCACCTCAGCAACCTGTCCAGCCCATGGCAACGCCTTTTGGCTCGCTCCCCACTGCGCTCCCAAAATTCATCCATGGCAAGACGGATGTGGAGAACTGGGTGACAACTGTGGATGAAATGCTGACTCTCCACAACGTGCGCACCAACGCTCGTGTCACCGCCGTCTCTGGTGCGTTGGATGAGCATGCTAGCCAAACCATGTTTGCTAGCCGGAAACAGCTCGAAGCAAGTGGAAAGTTTTTCACTTGGGACGAGTTCTGTACTGCAATGAAAGCGGCTTTTCTTGTCAAGACAACTGACATGGAGGTGCGTCGTTGCCTTGAAAACATCAAGTGTGGCGATCGCTCAGTGCAGAAATATGCACAAGAGTTTGAGGGCGTTCTGCGACTGATGGGCAAGCAGCTATCTGAGAATGAAGTTATGTATATCTTCTTCCAGAATTTGCCCCAGTCCCTGCAGGATAAGCATGTCGCAAATGGCCTCAACAAATGGAGCACCTACAAGGAGCTCAAAGAGGCGGTTCAAGCAACGGACGAGACTGTTCGTATGCTAGCAACGCCTTCCACCGACCAGCCTGAGTCGAGGACTCAGGCGAGGGTTGATGGGGGCAATGGTGGTGGTGGCCAGTGGAATTCCAAGGGGAAGGGCCATGGGTACAAGAGGCCCTTCCACCAGAATGGTAACCAGCAGCGTCCTCCGGCTAAGAGGGCGAATGGTGGCGGTTACAAAGGGCCGCCAAGGGACTTCTCTAATGTCGTCTGCCGAGGGTGTGGCCGTCGTGGTCACATGGAATTTCAGTGCCGCTATAGGAATATCATAAAGCATAGTGGTAAGCCTAAGGGCAACAACAATGGCGGCGAAGGACCTTCTGGCAGTAAGAAGGATTTTCAGAAGTCCAACTAGGGTGTGGGTACCTAGTTGGTCAGATAGATCGAGGGGATGAGGCATATGCTTTATGTGACGATGATTTACTAAAGCTAGAGAAGCTTGCTGAATGCAAAATCTCTTATTTGTTTGCCTCTTCTTTTAATAAAAACTCAATGTTTGCACCTCGATCGTACCCACTTGATGCTATATCCATCGAAGCGTTACGAGATAAATTCTCAGTCGTTTACTGTGGCCTGGAAACATTGCCTTCTGTACTCGATGTTGTGAGTCGTTGTACTCAAGAGCACCCCCTGACTGCGGTCGCCGTGGTGACTCGTACAGTAAAGGGCGAAACGTTCAAATCGCTTCGTGGATGGGTTGTGCTGGCGTCTTGGGACAAGGGACACCACGTGTGGTGGACCAAATCTGAATCCTTTGGACGAGCTCGCCACAATGTCAAGGTGTACTACAAACCCTCGTCGAACATTGTGGCATGCCCCATCCGCCCAATGCATCAACAAAATCTACTCCTTTCGGGTCACGTTAACGGACATAGCGCGAAAATTCTTGTCGATACAGGTGCCACTGTTTCCCTCCTTGATGAAAAGTGGGTCACACCGCTTGGGGTCCTCGTTGAAGGACCGTCATGTCCCATTCGTCTTGGGGACGATAGTCTTATCCCAAGCAAAGGACAGACATTGATCGACATGAAAATCCAAGGCTATAGCGAAAAGATTCGCACTTACGTTCTCCCCTTTCTTGCGGGTGTCGACGTAGTCTTGGGAATGGATTGGTTACGTGCAAATGAGGTTATTTTGGATTTCCAGGATAACACCGTTTCTTTCACCAAGAATGGTGAACCAATCCAGTGGCAGGTGTCTGTCGACACAACCATCCCGGTGGTTCAAATTACGAAAAGTGCAGACGTGTGCTTTGCTCTTGCATGTCAATTTGGACAGCATTACCGCGTTGCTAACACACTTTTCGTCGTACAGCTCGAGGAAGCTGGAACCCCAACGCCAGACATTGAGGATTTTCCACCTCAAATGAAGGTACTGGCGGATGAGTTTAAGGAGGTTTTTGAGGCTATTCCAGACGGACTCCCTCCTGACCGCGCCGTGGGCCACACCATCCCTGTGGAGCCTGGAAAGCTCCCACCGTTTCGACCTCTGTATCGCCTCAGCCTAGCTGAGTACGAGGAGGCTAAACAACAAATTGAGGAGTACCTCAGGAAGGGATGGATTGAGCCAAGCGCATCACCATATGGAGCACCAATCTTGTTCGTTAACAAGAAGGGTGGTGGCTTACGCATGTGCGTCGACTACCGCGCCTTAAACAAGATCACGATCAAGAACAGATATCCTCTTCCAAGGATAGAAGACCTGTTCGATCGACTCCAGGGTGCTCAGTGGTTTAGCGCGTTGGATCTGGTACAGGGGTACCACCAACTGCGCATCACTGAGGAAGATGTTCCCAAGACGGCGTTCCGTTCGCCGTTTGGCCATTTTCAATGGCGTGTGCTTAGCTTTGGCTTGACCAATGCTCCAGCCTCTTTTCAAAGGGCCATGAACGATGTGTTCCGCGAAGCAATCGGGCACTTTGTTCTGGTTTACCTTGACGACATCTTGGTTTATTCCAAGACTGAAGAGGAGCACACTCAATACCTAAAATGGGTGTTAGGAAAGTTGCGAGAACACAAGTTCTATGCTCGTTTATGGAAATGCCATTTCTACAAACGCGAGTTGGAATACCTCGGTCATCTTGTCGGGAACGACGGACTTAAAGTCGACCCCAAGAAGGTGGTGGCTGTTCAGAATTGGCACGTCCCACAAGACGTGGGCCAGATCAGATCCTTCCTAGGCCTGGCCAATTATTTTCGCCGGTTCTTGGAAAATTACTCAACTGTCGTTGCCCCTCTGACAGCACTCACCCGAAAGGGTAGTGCATGGGAGTGGACTCGACAATGCCAAGAGGCATTTGACAAAGTCAAAACAAAGCTGACCAATGCTCCGGTTCTGGTATTGCCAAATCCTTCTAAACCCTATGAGGTGGTCACAGACGCCTCGACAGTAGGGATTGGGGCGGTACTCTTGCAGGAGGGCCGCCCAGTGGCATTTGAGAGTAGGAAACTCTCCCCGGCAGAGCAGCGCTATACGACGTCAGAACAAGAGTTGCGGGTGGTCGTGCATGCGCTGCGCACATGGCGATGTTATCTGGAAGGTGTGGAGTTTGTGGTCACGACAGATCACTGTCCGAACACCTATTTTTCTACTCAAGCCACGCTCACTCGGCGCCAAGCCCGCTGGGCAGAACTCCTTAGTGGGTTCACATTCGATATTCGATATCGTGCAGGTTCTACGAACATGGCTGACCCCCTCAGCAGACAGCCGATAGGGGCAGCGACTGGGCTTGAAGACACCGAGGATAAGGCAGTGGTTGCTGCTTGCTTCGGTATTCTTGCCGTGGCTCGAGTGAGTGAGGTCACCTTCAGTGGTTTTCTGAAACGCATCCGCACAGGATACCATATTGACTCCTGGTTTCAGAACCCACAAAATACGAAGGGCCTCAAGTACGAGCATGAGCTCTGGTGGCGAGAGCAAGAGATTGTGGTACCCCACGTGGGTAACCTGCGGAATGATATAATTGAGGAAGTGCATAGCACCAGGTACGGGGGACACCTGGGTATCAAGAAAACCCGGTGGGCCTTAAGTGACGTGTACTGGTGGCCTGGATTGGGGACTGAGGTCCAACAATTCGTGTCGCGTTGTGATGCATGCGCACGCAACAAGTCAGACACGAAAAAGCCTGGTGGTTTGCTTCAACCACTGGAGATTCCAGACGAACCCTGGGAGAGTGTCTCACTGGATTTCATCACAGACCTCCCAAAAACACGAGACGGTCATACTGCAATCTTGGTCTTTGTGGATCGACTGACCAAAATGGTGCACTTCGTTGCTACTACGACAGACGTATCTGCGGAAGATACGGCCAAGTTGTTTGTAGCACACGTGTTCCGCTTACACAGGTTACCGCGTGTGCTGGTGTCCGATCGAGATCCGCGCTTTACAAGCCGGTTCTGGCACGAAGTTACACGGACACTCGGAACGAAGCTAAAGATGTCGTCAGCCTTCCATCCCCAAACGGATGGGCAGACAGAGCGGGCGAATCGTACACTTGAGCAAATGCTTCGTTCATTCATTGGCCCAACTCAGGATGATTGGGATGACTTGTTACCTGTGGTTGAGTTCGCAGTGAACAATTCCGTCCATGAAGGTACCCACGAAAAACCCTTCATTCTGAACTGTGGTCGGCATCCCACGACACCTGCTACGCATGGGATAGGCGGACTGCGAGTCCCTGCCGCGCAAGACTTTGTGGGCAAGCAGCAAGAAGCGCTCAAGTCTGCTCGCCGCTGGCTGCAACTGTCTCAGCAGCGACAAAAGTCTTCTGCCGACATGAAACGCCGGGAAGTCTCTTTTGAGGTTGGAGACAAGGTATTATTGAGCACGAAGAACATTCGTCTCAAAATCCATGGGGCACGAAAGCTGTTCCCTCGATGGATTGGGCCATTCGAGGTGATCCAGCGTGTTGGTGTGGTAGCTTACAAGTTGAAGTTACCCGGAACATTGCAGATTCACAATGTCTTCCACGTGTCTCTGCTCAATAAGTACATTGCTGAAGGCAAGTACTTACCTCCGCCAACAATCGTCCTCGGAGAGGAACTCTTTTATGAAGTCGAGCGTGTGCTCATGCACCGTGATCGACAGCGCGGCCGCAAGACAGTACGCGAGTTCCTCATTAAGTGGAAAGGCTATGGGCCTGAACACAACTCATGGGAGCCAGAAGAACATTTGACCGAAACTGCGGTTCACGGATATCTGGAAGACCTGGCTCAACAAGCAGCCTCACAACCAGTGGGTGGTGTTGACCCTGGTCGTAATGTGATTCGGCGCGCTCGAAGCACCCGTCCCCAGAAGCACTCTACGGCAACGAGGACGTTGCCACCTGGAGGGGGAGGAGTGTAACGCATGGCCTTTGCACAGTACGCGGGCCTAGAAACGACCTTCCCAACCGCTTTCCACAAATCGGCTACCTATGCTAGGTAGCGCGAAATGGGAAGGAAGGGTTGGGAGGGGAGGATTAGGATTGGTCGACACTTGGGACCAATCAGATTTTAGTTGTACAAATTGAGTTGGCGAAATTCCCAACTCACGCGATGGTTGGATTTGCGACCAATCAGAACCAGGGAGTTGGTTGGCAGTGCCAACTCAACTCGAATATTCTTATGCTGTACACTATATGCTAATCTGAATATATTGTTGTAAACCTCTCATTGGTTGGAAATCCAACCCTTTTGCCACATAAGCTAGCTCACCTCCTTGGAGCCATGGAGGAGGTTGAGCAGCTGCTGGGAGTCATTGGAAGGGGTCTGAGCTGAGAAGCTCATTCTCAACTTCCCACTCCAAGAAATCAATCTTGAAATGGGATTTTTCTCTAAGTCATGAGCTCTCCTCACAAGCTTCCCTTCACTAGTGGCTTCTAGTGTGATCTCCTAGGGGAAGCCCTACCCGACCAGAGTCTCAAGCACTTGTCTTCAAGGGCCTTCCTCAAGTTTAAGCTATCTCTTAGAGGAGGTTCCTCCTAAATACTACGCTAAGGGATCGTTAGTTGATTTTGTACTCCATTTTATATCCTAGGATCTTGGATGTTGGGTTTGGACTTCAACCCTTGTTGCCCATGATATAAGGGCAAGGGTTGTTACAGTAGCCCTTCCACGTTCCTGTGCCCTTCTTCCCTCCTCAGGTGTAGGCTGGCGCTTGCCCATTGCTGCAGCCATACCCTGCTCGGTCACTCGCATCTCATACATCCCCTCTCGCACTATTCCCTCCGCTATCACGGTCCACTGAGGGTCAAGTACCCACATTTCTCCGTCGTTGCTGAAAATCTTGTAACCCGCCTCGTCCAGCTGAGACTGACTGATCAAGTTCATCTTCAGCCCCTCTACTAGCAGCACGTTCTCCAGTTTCAGCTCCTCACTGCGACCTTGCAGCACCACTTCTCCTTCCCCCTGCACTGCTAATACCCCATTGTCGGTGACTTGAACAACTTCCAGACTGGACTCCATATGCACACTTTCTTCACACTTTCCTTCCCATTCCTTCCCCTTTCTTCTCGCCACCGTTCCCTAGTGCACCACCGCACTTCTTCTGAATTCCTACCGATTTTCCTCCATCACCGCTCTTTTCTCAGTTGACTTTTCTTCCGTTCCCACCGTCTGAAATTCCTCCCACGATTATGCTTGCCACCCCTAGGCTGCCCTAGTGGTTGGCGAACCACTTCCAGCAGTTCGAACGCCCGATCTTCTCAGCTGTAGCTCGGATGATCTTGTCGATCACGGCAAGGTCGGGAATGGCAGCAGCAGCATCCTTTGCAGCTAAAGCTTCTCTGTAGTACAGGGGAAGGGAGTGCATGGAGGTGATTGAGAATTCAAGTTAATGAGAAACAATTGAAGGGCACATTCAAGAAATATTGGAAAGGCCAGATTTGAGTGAAAGCTAGGCAATTGCTACAAATGAATTCCAACCTGTGAGCGATGCAGTGAACGGGAACGATCCAGCGGTACTTCTGCCGTAGGCTGGTCACCAAGCCTTGGCGCTCTCCAATCATGACACTTGCACCATCTGTGCTGATTCCCACAAACTTCTGCATGTCAAAGCCTTTCTTATCGAGGTGGGAGGTGAGGACATCATGGATCGATGCAGCATCACACTTATCTAGTGGGAGATGGGCCAAGAACTCATTTGCCACCGAAGCTTCTCGTTCGTAAGTTCAATACAGGATAAGGTGCTTTCCGTTGGCGCGGTCTGTAGATTCGTCCAGAGAAAGCCCAAACCAAGGACATGCCTTGATGTGGCCCAGTTGCTGGTCGTGCAGGTGCTTCGCCAATGCCTCGAGAAACTGCCCCGCGCTCCACCTGCCATAAGAACCAATACACATAGGGAGCGTGAGGATGCAAATCCCTGATTTAGAACAGGAGTAGCTTGCAAGGATGCGGATGCGGTAAGGGGACAAACGAAAAGAAAGGAAGAAAGGGAAACAAAATGAAGCACTCAAATACACGAACACTCACATTGAGAAATACCGGGCGTACATCTCCTCTTGCGGCATGTCTACCATGCCCTCATCCGCGAGCCACCGTGCAAACACCGGATACAGTGATATTGGGATGTCATGCCTTGCAAGAAAATAGCATATCTTCATGCATCGCACGACACGACGAACATGTGGCTCAACCTTCTCGAACTCCCGCCACCTTTTCATCCTTTCCTCCTTCTGAAGTTCTCCTTTCTCCTTCTCTACCGCCCGCTTGTGCTGATTGCTCTCATGGTGTCCTCTAACGCACCCAATCTAGATGTCCCTGGCTCCGACCCCAGGTCGCCCAAAGAGAGAGTGCTTATCACCAGCCCAGCGTGAACATGCCGAACACTTCATGCCAAACTTTTCTGCTTCCTTGCCGTACTCCAAGCTAAGCCAGGGGTAGTCACGGACCCATCGCGTGCTAAACTTCGGTCGCAGCTCCAGCTCTTCTGTAGGAATCGGACGAGCAGTTTGCACAGCCTCTGGAAGAGAGGGATCAGTGGGCTGACTCGGTGGAACAAGAGGATCAGATCCCTGATTTGTAGCAGTAGATGGGTCAGAGTGTTGATTTGGCGTGACAGGAGCAGCATCATCTGCTGCATGCTCCCTTCGTTTACACTTTGTAGGGGCTGGCGCAAAGCATAAACGGATTTGCTTGTGGGGACGCGGCTGTGCAGGAGCCCTTTGTGCTGAGGACAATGGGCGCACAGTGGTAATCCCAGGGTCAGACGGACGCCTATGAATTGGTACTTCATCCCCTGTCCCCCCTAAGCCCAGGTCTAAGATGACTGAGCCAACACGTAAAGGCTCTTGCTGAGTTGGAGAGGCTTCGTCAGTAACATGCACAACTTCCACGTTCTCATTTAAATCGATTGAAATACCACTCCTTAATGACAGCATGACCAAGTCATCATCCATTCTGGACTAAATGCCACAGTTAGGTTCTTCGCATGAATCAGCCTTGACTAGGAAACAGCGAGCAGCTGTGTTGGAAATCCTACTAGTAACAACCTAAATTGCTAGGCTAAGAGGCTGGATTAGCGTGAGGTAAGCTAAGATGTGGTGAGGTGATCGATCTTAGTCCCCGCTCAGATCCAGCAGCCAGAGCGCGAGAAGTCCTGAATCTGGATTCTTCAAGTGGGCTTGAAAATTCGAAATCTAGGTGGGAGGGGAGGTGTTGGCGGGAACAGGGTTTGAGAATCGAGAGGAAATTTTGGCGGGGGCAGAAAAGGGGGGGAACGGAGGCGGAAAAGGGGGGGAACGGAGGGGTGGGGCGGGGTGCGGGAGGGGAGGAGGGGGGGGGTGTGGTTGGGAGATATTTCTGGTTCAGGGTAGCCCCCGAAACTGCTCGGATGCATCAGGGCTCGGCGGAAAAGCCCTCGTTGAATTCAGGGTCCCGCATAATTTCCCCCTGAATTCCTCAGGGCTGATCCGAAAAGGACCCTGAACTTCTCAGGGTTGTCATGAAAACTACCCTAGAATTTCAGTCAAGTCAGGGCATTTGCCCGGATAACATAAGCCTTGATTCTGACTCTCTTTTCTCTCCTCAACTTTCCTAGCCTAAACCCTCACGCCATTTCATGGCTCCTCCTATTCCTAGCTAGATCTACTTCTTTCTAGTTTTGACATGCTATCAGAGCAGGAGGTCCTCCCTGCTGGACCGCTTCCTCACACTTCCGCCGCGTACTCCTCGCCCTCGTTCGCTTGCGCGGCCATGGCGGCCGCGTTGTGCTGCAGTGGCGGCGTCGTGATGCCGCTGGCCGCGTCGTGCCGCTGCCGTTCCGACGCGCTGCCGTGGTGTCGGGCCGTCGTGCTGCCGTCGCAGCGTCGACGTCCCACCGCGGCGTCGATGCCACTCTGTGACGGCGTCGTTGGGCTGCAGCCGGCCGCGCGACGCCTGTGGCGCCGCTAGACCGGCCGCCCGCATGCCAGCCTGTGACACCCCCCTCCTTCCCCTGTATCCTCTTCCTTTCCGCAGACGATGTCTGACTCCCGCCGGCCGTCCCACCGTCGCGGGGCCTGGCCACGTCACTGAGAGGTGCGGGCGCCGCCGCCGCCGCCGCTGTTGTCGAAGCTGCTGCTCTCGCCGCTTGCGTCGGGACCATGCAGCCGAACGCCGCCGCCGCCGCCGCTGTCGACACTGCCGCTGCTACCGCCGTCGCTGCCGCAGCCCCTGCGGTTGACGTCGCCGCCCCACGTGCCGCGGGGTCGACCGAGCTAGTGTCGCTGTCACTGTGGCTGGAATGGGGGTGCTAGGTTAGGGGGTGTGGGTGTGTGTGGGCTTGTGTCTACCAAGCCTAGGGGGTGTGTTAAATTATATATGTTAGTATATAATTGTAGGCTTGGTAGTCTTACTGAACTTTACTGTAGAGGGTACAACACCCCTCCTTGTATCCCTCTCTCTTCTATTCTGACTCTCTTTTCTCTCCTCAACTTTCCTAGCCTAAACTCTCACGCCATTTCATGGCTCCTCCTACTCGTAGTTAGATCTAATTCTTTCTAGTTTTGACAATGGGACTGTAAGTGTTGCTCTTGGGTAACCCTTGTCAAAACATATTCTAGTATGTTATTGTAGATAGTATAGGTTTGTGCTTTAGAGAGTACAACACTTGCCTATATTCTCTTGTACTCTCTCATTCTAGTCATTCTATCATTCGAACAAGGTATCATGAGTAGGTTAGGTCCATCTCGCCCACCGGCGCTTCCGCTCTAGGTCCTAGCCGCCCGTTCCCCTAGCCGACCCGCGCGTGTCCCGTACCCGGCCCGTCCCATAGCCTGCCCAGCCCGTAGCCATCCCGGCTCGTAGCCTGCCTGGCCCGTAGCCGTCCCGTAGCCGGCCCCGTCCCGTTCCCGCGCCCGTCTCTCGCCCGTCCCGCGCCCGTCCCGCGCCCGTCCTGCGCGCGCCCCGTAGCCGGCCCCGTAGCCAGCCCCGTCCCGCACGCCCTGTAGCCGGCCCCGCCCCGCGCCCGTTCTGTGCCCGCCCTGCGCTTGTCCTGCGCGCGCTCCGTAGCCGGCCCCCGGCCCGTGCCAATCTCGTGGCCGGCCCCGTCCCGCGCCCGTCCTGCACGCCCTGTAGCCGGCCCCGCCCCGCGCCCGTTCTGTGCCCGCCCTACGCCCGTCCTGACCGCGCTCCGTAGCCGGCCCCCGGCCCGCGCCAATCTCGTAGCCGGCCCCGTCCCGCGCTCGTCCCGTCGTCGGCTAAGAGCTGGCCCCGTTGCCGGCCCCATAGCCACGCCTGTCCAGCAGCCGGCCCGCGCCCCTTGCCGGCCCGCCTCGTGCCCGTCTCGTAGCCGTCCAACGCCCGTCCTTGCCGGCCCCCACTCCTCACATCACCTGCCCGCCCCGGCTCCATCGCCCAGCTGCCCCTGACGTGCACCTGTACCGCACTGTGCCACACTGTACTGCACTGCACCTCACTGTACCGAACTGCACCGCACTGTATCGCACGGTACCGCACGGCACCGCACTGACTCGCACTGCACGGCCACTGCATCGCTCCTGATGGCAGACTCGGTGTTACGCTTTGATGCGGAGGGTCAGCCGATAGAGTCGACACGTGGCTCGTCGACCTCCGTCGTCAGCTCACTGGTCAGCAACAGGACGGCCACTCCCTGGCTGTCCACCTTGACGGTATGCTCCCCTGCCCTGACGCCCCTGCTGCACTGCCCGCTGACCCCACGTCTGCTGATCGTGAGT